TCCGATCTGGTGAAATTATTTCTTTTTTTTTTTTTAATTATGCTATTACTTATTACTTTATAATTTTATTTTTAATTTTTTTATTTCAACTCCAAATCTCTAACATATTGACCTACTTTGTCTTATTCTACTTTTTTTAGAGTTGGTTTGCCCCGTTCTTTTTATCCAAGTCTCCGTATGATTTTTTGTCTCTTTCCATCGTTTTAAAATTATTTTTGTTGCTAATATTAGTTAACTTTTTTTTTCAAGTTCTTGCTCTTGTTTCCAAGCTACGTAATTAATGATAAATTAGTAGGAAGAGATTTTCTTAAATTGTTTTTATGTGTAATTCTTAATAATAAAAAATTTAAATAATTGCGGGTATTTTAGTGAACTGACCAGGTATAATACGGTACGACACAGTCAAACAAAACAACAAAAATATACTTAACAACAGCAAACGATACAATCTATTCGAATATTGTATCTATAAAACAATACGATACAATACAATATTGTATAATGAATACATTATAAAATGATGGGTAACAATGATTCAAACATAGTGCTAATATGAGTAGCTTGTATCGTGTGTGGGTTATTCCACTTCAGCCTATATTTAAGAGAAGTTAAATTTGGTGTGAGTTAAACCATCACTGAAAGAATTACAAGAAAATGCACCTGACTTCAAATCATGATAAAAAATGACTCATGTTTTAAAGTTTTACCCGACCTAATCTATATTGTATATATTTTAAAAGCACTAGCAAATTCAAAATATGTGTTCTTACAACCATTGCTTCTAAAAGCTATGGAGATAAATCTGTGTTCTGACAACCATTGCTTTCAATCTCTCTTCTTATCACATCTTCTACACATGCTTCAAGGGGCCGTATATTTTATGTTTCTCACATGTGTCACCTGGTTGCAATGTAAGAAAATTGAAGAGTAGAAGTCCACGATTGAAGGCCATTTTGCTTTCGGAAATAAGATTTTTTGAGTTTGTTAGTTGTTTGGATTGGGTGTTATTCCAATTGATTAAAAATATCAAAAGGAGTTCAAAATTTAAATTTGAAGTGATTTGGAGTAGATTTGAGCAAGATTTGAGTTAAATTTCAGAAAAGACGCAAGGAAGAAGACGGAGTCAGTTTTTTGTATAATTATGTATAGTGTATATGAGTGTATAAACACATCTTATACACTTATACATTTTTATACACCTTTGTACAAGCGTTTGTAGACAAACTTCTTCCACGATTTTCAGTTGCAATTCTTGTTCAAAATCAGTCCAAATCTCCATTAAATGAGTTCAAATTTTATATACAACCTCCTTATACTATTTCTAACAAGTCTAAATAATACCCACTCCAAATTTCTCACAAAACTAAATTCGGAATTTATACCCACAAATTTAAGTTTGTTAAAAATTTAATTTTCACCACCCAAATGGATTTGGTTTGTTGAACTATTATTTGAGTCACAGCTACTGATTCGAAAATTAACTTAAAAGTTTGAGCAATCTTTTTTAAAAATTAAATAGTAATTTCGAGAACCTATTGGAGTTGGATGTTGAATCTTAGCCTATTATTTTTGGGTTAGTTGGTTGTAAATTGAAATGTGAGCTATAAAATTGAAGAGTAGGGAGCCCGATTATTTTTATGTGAAATTTTCCCTCAATCAATTTAGTCCAGTTACTAATTTATTAAGGATTTTCTCCTCACCAAATTTAATTAGTTATTAGAGGGTTTTTTGTCCCCTCGAATTTGAAGTTAAATATTCTTTTAACGGGTCATTTGGTACGATGTTGAATAAATAAGAGTATCTCGTGGGATTAGCTATCCCATTTTTTATACGAGCTAATTAATTTTACTATTTTAATGTAAAATTATCCAGAAATCAGCTAATATCTATAAACATAAAATAGATACAATTTCAAATTCTATCTTTGAGATTATTATCTTTTATCTTCAGTAACCAAACGAAGTATAGCCAATACAAGGAATAGGTAAAAAGACAATCTGTCTTTTAGTGGTAGATAACTCTTCAAGTACGGGGGCTAAAAAGTATATAGCGGAGTACTTTTTTTGCACAACGTTGCTCAAATAGTATAACTTTTCATATTGAGAAGCTACCTAAGAAACACTCCCCATTTTGGTTCTAAATTAAATGTAGTTCTTTTATTAAAAAAAAAAATTATTCGACTCACATTGTAGTAATAACACATACTAATAAGACAGGGAGTGCAAGTAAAAATTCAAGTTAACTTGCTTTCAGGCAGAGCTGGACACATGAACTCGCGGTTATGGTATATCAACGTTTGCCACCTGACCAAAAGCTTCATTATACAAGTCAGACCAAATTACGAGATATTCGTGTGCACAAAATATTATATAGAGGATGTTTGGATTGACTTTTAAGTTGGTCAAATACACTTTTAAGCTCTTTTTAGCTTTTTTTAGTATTTAACAAAGTTAAAAAAATGTTTAAAATAAGTTAAAAACTGCTTAAAACAAGTCAAAAGCAATAAGTTGGGCTACCTCAACTTACTACTTCTCCTTGTTTAACCAAAAAATTGTTAAACCCTTTAGTTAAACTAATTAATAGAGAGATAGAAGGTAAAAGGTAATTAACTCTAGATCAAAACATACCGAGTACAAAAGTTGGAGGAGAACAAGCTGATTTAATACTTCTTAAAATGATTGTCATACACCAAATATAAATGATAGTCTTACATTTATGACGGATTTGCACTATAATCGTAAGAGCACAGAAAGGGAAGAGAGAAAGCTATTGATAGCTTAAGAGATTCCCCCTTGATAGTTCTATATGATGACTATGATGTTGTGTCCCCATTTTTGGTCCCGAGCCTCCCTATATGTACTAACAATTTTTTCCTTTTATCCAACGGTCTTTGACCGCCGTGCTTTCTCATGACCGTATCCTTCAGTACTTACCCAAACATTACACTTGTTCCGTGATGTAAGCTTTCTAACAGCTTGATCTCGACAGGGACCGTGGTACTCGTCGCCAGCACGCCTTGTGGGCACGACCGTGGCTGGGTCGACCTCTTACCGTCCCCTTTAATGATAATTATTTAGTGATCAGATTTTGACCCATACAGTTAGTCCCTCCGCCCGTTGCTGTCGTCTTTTGGCGAGCTCAATGGGCGGATCTTGTGGATCCATGAATAATTAGGAGAAATCTGATCGTTATGCGAGGACGGGGTTCTCACGGCGAGGTGGCGATGTGATGTTTCAAGGACTTTACCGGACCGTTACGTCAGTTCGGAGATGGATCAGTGTACCGATCCAGGGTGCCATGAATGCCCGTTATGCGTCATTATGACGCACGTTCCCCAGGCAACGTATCGTTTCCTATGCCCTTTCAACTTTTTGGCGGCTCTTATGTTTCGCGCTCAGGGCGTTTATGTTCCTATAAATAGGGGGAAACCACCATTTGATTTTTACGCTTTTCGATTTACCTGAGAAATTTAGCAAACTTCCATTTTCTTAGTATTCTGCACTTCTGCTTTTGTCAGACTTCGACGTAATCACCCTCTCTATTTCTTCATCACTCGTGTTTGTTCCGATCGAGCCAGACAAATGGCTATTACTTCTTCCCAGGTTGACAGATTCATCGAAGCTCCGGTGCCGGAGAATGATGCACCCCTTCTTGGAGAGGGAATGGAGGTGATAGAAGATAAGGGTTTTCCGACAGTGGCTGAGATACTACCCCGTCCGGGAAAATTATGGACTGACTTCAATAGCCCTGCCAGAGATGAACCGGATCTTGTCCCTTCCACCATGGATGAAGCGGCGATTACGGCGCTCAAAGTTAATGTTACATCCCGTACTTTAATATTAGGATTAGTCGTAGTAAACCACATGAGCTTGAAGGAACTAAGACCATTCATGAAGTTATAAGGAATTTGTGACTATGTTATTATAAGACCCCGTAAGTTTTTGTAGAAATTTGTTTATGTTAATGTTGGTTAGCATAATGTCCACTTTCATTTCCATCATCTCTCTTAAATGTTTGTTACCACTTCTTGATCGACTAGATTACTTGGTAATCTTGTATTTTGTTTATCATTTTTGATCACTGAATAGTACTTCGTGCTAGTAGTATTAGGGGCTACTTGGTAGCATAATTCAATTAACTGAAGTGCACCAATCGAATCAGAAAATGAGCAACCATCTATGTAAAGTTATTATGTCTTAAGTAAGTTACGAACTCATGTCGGAAAGTCAATGTTTATAAGAAAACCTCATGTTGGATAGCCAACACGTGGATATATATATATATATATATATATATATATATATATATATATATATATATATATATATATATGTG